ACCCTAATCCCAACCCTAACCCTAACCATAACCCCGCGCGAAGCTAACCATAACCCTGACCACAACCCTAATATATATTATTATTATAACCCTAACCCGAGCCATAAACAATCGAATTCATGTTTTACTAGCCTGTCACGTGACCAAAACACAAACAACAAAACGGTTTTTTGCCCATAACTCTCCGTGGAAGCATTTTTACCCTACGTCATACGTCATGGGGGGTGATTCGGAATCAGCGTCCAAAATACACGTCACCGATTCAAATCAATTTCACACCCTAAAGGCCTTTTCACAAAAATTTTCTTAAAATTTGGGCGAGCGATTTAGTAGGAGCATTCAAGCATCAAGGTTTGCACGTGTGAAAGGTGAACATTTTTGATTTTGCTCATTCGTGATTTTGAACAAATTCTGCTTTGCCACGTCATGCGACAGTTCAATGTCATTATATCATATATTGTATATATGAATTTAATGCCAACTTGAATGAGTATAAAGTAGCATATTCAGTCAGTGATCGACTTGTAGGTTTACAACCTACCAGGACGCGCGCCGAGTACGGTGTACGAGAAGGGGCCTTACGAAGAAAATATATGCTTTTTTAAAAATTATATACTTTTTCAAAAAACATATATACTTTTTTAAAAACATATATACTTTTTCAAAAAACATATGTTTTTTGGAACGTATATATTTGCGAAAAACATATATTTTTCGAAAGGCCCCTTCTCGAACATGGCGTGTACGAGAAGGTGCCTTGCAAGGCACCTTCTCGTACACGTGATGTTCGAGAAAGGGCCTTACGAAAAATATATGTTTTTCCGCAGATGTTCAGGTAGAACCACCTCTACTACATACTACCTGTGGATAGGTTACAGCTACCTAAATGAAACATTGCTTTAGCTTAGAAATATTCTTAATCTAACTAACTGTGAATTCTTGCAAATTGTTACAGCTATAGCGAGGTTTTCCCTCCTCTTCTTTCCTCTGTCTCCCTGTATTATATATATGGATATCACTGTGGTCCTTAGCAGCTCAAATCGCAGTCTTTTTCTAAGATAGGAGACTGAGTCTGAGTAGTGCTGTCCGGTTGTTCTTTCCATTTTTAATTACAAATTAAGTCCATCTACGCTGCGCAGTGCCGCTAATGAAAATATTCGTTTTCGAAATTGCTCTTTCCATACATCACGATGTTAAATTAAACATAAGTAGGGTTATTAAAAAATATTTGTTTTCAATTCCGTATAAAAGATATTGCTATCCACTGCGCACTCTTGACTATGTATCAGGTAGGGCAACACGTTATTTGACCTAAGTTATAGTCCCCTTGTGTGCGGCTCGCACTGCACCTTTTCGTGCGAAAAGGTGCAGAGGAAAGAAGAGGAGGGAAAGCCTCGCCATAGCTGTAACAATTTGCAAGAATTCACAGTTAGTTAGATTAGGAATAGCTCTAAGCTAAAGCAATGTTGCATCTAGGTAGCTGTAACCCATCCACAGGTAGTAAAGGTGGTTCTATACTACCCGAACATTTTTCGTAAGGCCCCTTCTGGAACATCACGTGTACGAGAAGGTGCCTTGCAAGGCACCTTCTCGTACACGCCATGTTCGAGAAGGGGCCTTACGAAAAATATATACGTTCCAAAAAACATATGTTTTTTTGAAAAAGTATATATGTTTTTAAAAAAAGTACATATTTAAAAAAAAAGCATATATTTTCTTCGTAAGGCCCCTTTTCGTACACCGTAGCAGAGTTGGAACAGATATTTTACGAGTATCACCCGTTAATGATCGACCGATATGCTTACCTAAACACAAGGAAATTTTTTTAACTGTCAACAAGATGTAAATCAGATCGAACGAGAAATTAGATCGAACGAGAAATTAGTTCGAACGGCGTCTCAATTCGATCTGATTTACATCTTGGTGACAGGTACTGTTACTATACAGTTACTGTGAGCCTGTAAGTCTTATCGCTCGGTAATGAAGATATCGTTCGGTAATGAAGATATCAGTTTATATTTCGACTTTATAAAGTACCCTGACATTATAATTAAAAAGAGATGATATTTGACCAAAACCCATAATCATGGGTAGAGTGGACCGCTGCCAGTGTCTCTCTGCTCTCTTTCCCAAACAAAAATGAAATGATATTAATTTGATTGACCGTTCTCAAATGCAAAATGATACCGAGAATGAAACCGGTCGCTCGCTTTTCCCATTCATTTACAATTGTAATAGATTAAGAACTACCCGAAGGCAGCTAGGTACTCGGCAATAAAGATTCAATAAACTTCAGCTAATTCACTAACTATTATTAAGAAACTGTTTACACCATTAAAATATTCAAAACCCCTAAAAGAAATCAAGTCATCCTAAAATGGTGATCAGTACAGATCGAGACAGCTAGAGTAAAAATTTGTTTCTCCAAGCAACTCTATCATCGGCTAATATCTTAAGCTTATTAAGATCATTCAAAGAGTTAAGTTTTAAACCTCTACGGGTCAAATCATTCACAATAATCTTGAACAAATTCTTACGATGCGCACCGACGCGCCCTTTACAGTTTGTTGTGACAGCAAACTTTAACGCTAATGCAGCGGGGGAGTCATCAGCACTACGCAAGATATGACCTAGGAGCTTCCACCTTGATTTAGGGACACGATCTGATAGCTTTACTGAGTTACATCTTAGGTATAAGTTTGCATTGGATATTGTTCCATGAGGCCAATAAATGTTCAGTAATGATCTAAGGTGTTTTCTATGGCAAATGTCTAGTTTTTCTAGTGACTTTGCAGTAGGACACCAACTACTGCAATTGTACATGATGATTGATACAATTTGGGCTTCGTATACTGCTATCTTTCTGGTAACGGAGATATTCTGCTGAGACCAGATCTTGGTGAACTTATAGAAGGCATTGTTCCCAGCAATGCATCGAGCAGCTATATCACTTTCACTACACAACAATGACCCAAGAATCTTACTCTTCCGCCAATCTTCATTTCCACGTAACATGGTATCATCACGACCAGGGATTGTTTCCCCAACAGGAGCGAGGAAAACATGAGTAAATTCTGTTTTCTCTGTGTTAATAAACAGGTTAAACTCCTTGAAGACTTCCTTAGCTATTGGTAGGATAGCTTCTAAGGATTCTTTTTCCACGTTCATGAAGTTGCAATCATCTGAATACGCTGACTCCAGTGGCATACCTTCATTTGAAATAGGGGGATTGGGTATGTGTGGGGGAGACTCTGCTAGTCGATGGCGTAGTTCTATAAGAGCTCCTGCAAGGACAAGAGTGAAAAGCTTGCCGGAGAGACTGTCACCTTGAAAGGACCCAAGAAGACTCTCGAATACAGCAGATAGTTCTCCTTCCACTCTGACCTTGAGCATGGTGTTGGTTAAGAGGAGTCTTACTAGCCTGAGGTCGTCGTCTGTGCAACCAGCTTTGACAAGAAGGTCAAGTATTGTTTGGCGTTTGATTGTGTCAAATGCTCGAGACATATCTATGCCCATCTTGTGATACTGGAAGTGTTTACGCGTGACAACCGATATCAACATTCACTAACTACCACCCTTATCCCGAAATACTAGGTATCGACCCGAACGCAACCCAAAGAGATTTTTACAGCATGTGATTGATGTAATTAATAAAAACTTATTACAATTCGTAAGCCGTGAATGAATGGGAAAAGCGAGCGACCGATTTCATTCTCGGTATCATTTTGCATTTGAGAACGGTCAATCAAATTAATATCATTTCCTTTTGTTTGGGAAAGAGAGCAGAGAGACACTGGCAGCGGTACACTCTACCCATGATTATGGGTTTTGGTCAAATTATATATATAACTAGTGTAACCCGTGCCTTCGGCCGGGACTTTACTGTCACAGTTGCAATGTAAAAGTATACAACCGCATTATATATTTGATATCACGCATAACGCTGTCTTATGAAAGTATGAAATCTCCCTACAGTTGAAACAAAGCGGCCGCAAGAGTGAGCTCTAAGCTTATTGTATTACGTGGGGCTAAACTAATTACGGTACATGTTATCCTCCTCGTTCTCTCTCCCATCCATTTATGTCACATTTCTGGAACAAAATCATCAATTAAACCACTTACCACCGGCCGATTTTTATAAAATTTGCTTATGGGCTTCGTCAGAGTTTTGTCAGCACTATACCGAAAAAACCAGTCCCTTAACTATTACCGTTTTTTTTGTATAACCGTTCGGAAATTACACACAGACACACAGACACACAGACACACAGACACACACACACATTCTGGTGTTATTAAGTTGATGCTTGGTGTAGCTTGTTGGGATAGTATAGGAATTCTAGTTCCTATAGTTGGGAATGAGGTAGTTGTCTGTTCACAGATCGCCCTATAAAAACTTACAAGGAAATATTTCCTGTAGATCCTTGGTATATAAGCAACATTTGACAGAGCATTGTGTGGAGTGAGCTATGTGCCCATCCTTGGAGAACCTGGCGAATGTCCTTGCTGTACGGCAGTGTTGGAACTGAAACCGAGGGGTTCCGTTCAGGCCCTTCACACTTTGTTTCTGTCTAGTTCTAATGTACCGTCACAATAGTGACTTTAAAATATGTAATATTATGTAATCACCGCCATCTGCTAATATTGAATATATCGTCTACTGTAAGTACAATGAATAATAGGACTGCCATCAAGATCTCGAATTGTAGACCCTCCTTGTCTGGAGTTTCAGACCACCCCTCTCCCGTTGTATCAAGAATCACGTCGTGACCCCCTTTGTCATTTCACCATAGGCCCGTCGCGCACTCGTGCGCAGCGGGCCCACGACGTGAGCCAACTCCCCGGACGTCCGTGCTGGTATTGGTTGATCAATTAGTAACACGCAAAACTTGTTCATAATTCCAAGTTTATTTTGCGTGGTCATCTTCTGCTCCAATCTAAATTTAATTGGAGCAGCCCGAACCACTCTCTCCCAGATGCAGTAAACATTTAAACAACCATTTGAATTGGGAAAATAAGTTAAGGCACTAACAGATGCGTCCTTTTTAAATAGTAAAAACTTCGTTGAAGCAGTAAAAATGGGAAGGAAGGTGACTGCGCGACCCCCGGGTAAAGGGTGCGTCTGCAAAGTCTGGGACATCTGGACTACAACGTTCTGATGCGAATTAAAGGAATCCGTACAAAAATACAAAACAAGAGTCTCTTGGTGAAAAGATATCACGTGACGGTAGGTAGGATCTGCGACGTCATGGGGGTGTTGTGACGTCTCGCCACGTGGGTTGGTGGCCTCGTTCGGCCGGGGCTCGAAACAAGGGCAGAGCATTGAAACCTGGGGATATTTCTGTTAGTTTCGGTTTCAACGAGCCATGTGCTCAATTTGATCAAATTCGTAGAGACAAACTGTATAAAAAGAGAAACACGTATGAGTGAAGGATCAAGCAGGAACGAACCTCACTACAGCGCAAACTCAAGAAACGACGGGTGCAGGGCGGGGCTGCGCAGCAGATTGGGGTCGTGGGGCACCGCCTGTACCCCCACTTCCTCCTCTACTGGAACCGCCTCTCGAGGACCCACGGTAGTTGCTGCTACCTCTGTAGTCTGGGGGAAAGCGGAGTTTATTTATGGGTCGAGCTGGAGGGAGTCTTGGACGCCTCATTCGAGTCAACTTTTTAAGATTTACAAAATTATTAAAAGATACCCTAGAGATTTGCAATGATACAGGTTTGGTAGCTAAATCAAACTGCATCAATACTTGAAACATGGATATTAGTTCAACGATCCTGACTAAAACCAATAATATTTGAAACTCACTGCCAGTTCCACGGTTTCCTGCTCCACCTCTACCACCACCAGTGCTATATCCACCCCTGTCTCCATACCCCGTCCTGTTTCCACCCCGTCTCTCTCCTCTGCTGTCTCCCCTGTCACCTCTGTCTCCTCCCCGGTTGTCTCTGTTGTCTCCTCTTGTCCTGTCTCCTCCGCGTGATCCTCCTCGGCTTTCTCTGGGTTCTCTGCTGTAACTACCTCTGGTTGAGTTGTACCTGTGAGGGGTCATGTTATTATTGTGACGTAATATGTGTGACGTTATGACTTATGAGTGTATCGTTAAGCTGTCTAAGTTCTAAGGGTGGTGTCATCATCAGTTATAGGGCTTTTCAAGTTGATTTACAATAAGTGTGACAAAATCATCAAGCCAAGTTATATAATTAGAAGTGACACAGCAGTCTGTTAATGTTTTAAGTGACTCTCCCAAACTTCAACGAAGAGGACTTGAACGAGTATTAAAATCTACTAAAATAGGTTCTATAAAGTTTACCTGTTGTTGCTGGAGCCCCTGTCAGAGCCTCTGTCCCTGTTATTATTCCTATAACTCCCGGGGGTGGTTCCGCGCTGATTATACCGGTTTCTGTTGCTTCCTCGTCGCTTGTCGCTCACCTCTGTGAATCCGTCATCGTCTACTTTTTGCTGTGGGGGAGGAACGGGGTAAGATTGGAGCTGTAAGCCAGGATCCTGGTTAAAACTAACTTCAGCCAAAGTAACACCCTACAACATTACAAAAAGCAGGTTCACTACAAAGTCACACCACATGTCAAATACAACACAAACCCAACTCACAGTAGTCTGATCCTTCATCTCAACCTGAGGAGCCTCGGCCCACCCGTTACTCTGCTCAGTGTTGGTCACGTCATTAGTCACGCGACTTGTAACCTCGCTAGAGATCACGTGGTTGTTTGTTTCTATTCCTGTGGACCACACTGGGGTGGAGGAGAAGTCTTCAACAGGTAGAGACGAGTTTCCCCAGTCGATAGTGCTCTTCTTCGACCACGGGTTGACTGGCTCCTGCAGATCAGAGGATTATCACGTGACCTATATTTAGCGATTAAAGCGACCTGGATTACTAGAATCACAGCTTGACTGAAAAAGAATTGGGATACAAATATCAGTTATTGCACAATTAGAAAAACAAGAATTTAATTCTTGTTTTTCCGATGGTGACTGATAGGGCTGATAACGTGAACAAAATTAAACAAAATTCATGACGTCACACCACGTGACTAGACTTTAACTCACGTTGTCCTGATCAGCAGGATCTTCAACAGGAACAGCGGGAACAACGGGGGGTCCGGCTGACCAGGCCATGACAGCTGGGTCAGACTCTATAACCTCTGGAGGAGTGTCCAGGGATAGTGGTGCTACTACTACTACTTCCTCAGCTGCTGCTGCCTCTGGTTCGTCTTGGGAAAACTCTCCGAAGATGGCTGAAAGTGAAAAGTTGTTACAATTAAAATAATAATCTAAACTTAGGCTAATAATTCGTAGTGATAGTTCTTCGTTATTCAGTCTCATTGTAGACCCCATAGATTAACCCAATCCAAAAGAAAAATCCTGACAATCCATAACTTGTGAAAGAGAATGTAAAATAGAAAGTACCTTTCTCAGGGTGTTCAACTATATCAGGACTGGAACTGGGTTGGAACTCAGGAGCGTGAGGCGAGAGCTGACTCTCTGATCTGTCCAGCTGAGAATCGTGCATGAAGTTCACCAGCCCATCATCTGTGGTGGGTTCGTGTACTGTTTCCCCGTTTAGAAGAGCTTCTTCTTCCACTGGTACCTCCTGTGTCAATAGTTAATTAGTTAGTTAATTAGTCACACTTGTGTACTTAATTAATCAGTAAATTGATTAGTTAGTTACTTGGTAGTTACTCCGAGGTGACTAATAAATTAGTTTTATTTGTAAATCAGTTTATTACGGGTAAATGCCTCACAGAATGGCTAGCCTCACAGAATGGCCAAATTTGTAAATGTTTTTGTAACTAATTTTTTATAAAAGACTGGTAGGTTTTGTGGATACCATATGAAACAAAAGTCTTCTGGCAACACTTCCTGTGGTGAAATCATTAACTAGGACCACATTTTCTGGCATAAATATGACTGTTTATGTAGAAATTTTGAGCACTGAAAAATTTGTTTTCAAATTTTTGAACTAAGTTTACATTTTGGTGAGAACTTCTGGCACCAGTATGACAGAAGATGTTCAAAGAATAGTATTCATCAAACAAAACGAACATTGTTCAATATAGGAAGAAAAAAATGCTAAAATGGCTACACGCCTCACAAAATGGCCAAAATATGCCTCACAAAATTTGTTTTCAATTTTTTGAACTAAGTTTGCATTTTGGTGAGAACTTCTGGCACCAGTATGACAGAAGATGTTTAAAGAATAGTATTCATCAAACAAAACGAACATTGTTCAATTTAGGAAGAAACAAAATGTTAAAATGGCTAAACGCCTCACAAAATGGCCAAAATATGCCTCACAAAATGGCCAAAATTTAAAACTCCTTTTATTCAATGAAACCATAAGTCTAAAGTATTCACAAGCTATTTATCATACAATAACACCCCAGATGGAGTGTTTTTACAGCCGAATGAAGGTTATAAATCATGAAATCAGGGAATATGAACAACGCCACACAAAATGGCCATTTTTGGTGTAGGAAATTATGCCCTTTTTATTCATTTCTAAGAAATTTCACCTATATGGGGGTGTTAACAAGGCATATTAATACCAGCAGCATGCCTGAAACAAGAGCCAAAGGTTTTAGAAAAATAAAATTTTCTCGTTTTCTTTTTTTTTTGCCATTTTGTCAGGCATTTTTTCTTTTTTGGGAAATAATTTTTCACAGCTCAGTTTTTTCGTGAGTTTTAGGTTATTACCCCAATACCCCATTCCTTAATAGGGGGGGGGGGGGGGGGGGGTCCACGTTAAAAAAAGTTAAAAAAGTTAAATTAATTAATGTTAAATTTCAAAATTCAGGCTTAGAAAGTTTAACTTTTTTAACATAAATTCAAATTTGGGTTGAAATTGCAATGGAGTGAATATTCTAGACTAGTTTACTTTTAGGTCATGCGTTGGTATTTTTGTTCATTAGTCATTACATGTAGGAAAATCTATCAGTTCCTGAATTTCGAGAGAAGGTTAAAACCTTCATGGAAGTGAAACTTCTGGAAAAGAATCAATATGTTAAAGATTTGGTGACCAAGCATGATAGAACATTTAAAGTTGTGTATGTCAATTATGGAATAGACTACACTACTGTTGGGATTAAAGTGTCTCCTGAGATAAGGCATTTCCTGTTAAACAATCAGTCCATTTACATAGGAAATTCCAGATGTAAAGTAGTTGATAGATTTGATCTTAAGCAGTGCTTCCGATGTCAGAAACTGGGACACATTTCATGCAAGGAAACTGATGTTATTTGTATGTATTGTAGTGCATCACACATAACCCGGGCTTGTCCCTACAAAGAGGTCAGAAGAAGTCACAGATGCACCAACTGCTCACACTCCACTTATGAATCATACAGAGAATCTTGTAACACCCATCACTCTGGTGCTGAAAACTGTCCCATAATAATGCTGGAGAAAGAGAGTCTTCGACAAAGAACAGAGTACTCAAAAAACATGTAAAGACTACGCTTCTCAACCTAAATGTCGGACTGTTTAACGCGAGGTCACTTGCACTATGTAATAAAACTGCACAAGTATTTGAGCAACTGTCTGACTCCAATATCAATGCCTGTTTCCTGACAGAAACTTGGCTACGTAAGGGAGATACGTCAAAAATAGCGGAAATTAAAGACCTAGGTTATAATATTGTTCACCAATCTAGAGCTGGTAGAGGAGGTGGTGTCGCTATTGCCTTTAAGAAAGATCTTAGCTTCAATAAACGTCCTACAAAGACCCATAAATCCTTCGAACATGTTGAGTGTGTGCTGAAGTCAAGTTCCAATGACCTTCTTCGTTTCTGCTGTGTCTATCGATCTTGTACGGCTAAAATGTCCAAAATGACAGACTTTTTACGGGAATTTGATGAATATCTTGACAGTCTAACTCACCTTCCAGGTAGACTGATCATTGCTGGAGACTTCAATATCCATGTCGAAGACCTCACTGATCCTGATACGATAAATTTTACCCATCTCATATCAAACTATGGCCTCATCCAGCATATTTCCAGTTCAACACACATTGGGGGTGGAATCTTATTGACTGCAACTCTGCCACAGAACTCTATAACAAAGAACTTCGCAGAATTCTTGATAAACATGCTCCCCTTATCTGTTTTAGCATTAATCCTGATCAAAGCAAGTGGGTGGACACAAAATGTCAAACTGCCAGAAGGAAACGAAGAAAAGCTGAATTTGACAACCGGAGACTACAAACTGCAGATTCAAAATTGGACTATAAAAAAGCTGTTAAGCATGCTGAGGCAGTTATAAACACCACTAGACAGCTATACTATGAACATCGTCTGCAAAGCTGTGAGGACAATAAAAAATATACCTACAAAATGGTTAATCAGCTGATGGATCGGGACATATCTAAAAACTTAAAGCCTAATAACAAACCTGCTTTTAAACTCTATGTGAGGAGATGAAAGAGTTTTTCAATGATAAAGTGGAAAAGAGTTACTCTGCCATTAACAATGATACTGCAGCTGACATTCTACTTGACCACTCAGAACCATTTCAAGGTGAAGCCTGGAGCCAATTTAAAACCATAAGCGACAATGATCTCAAAAAGATTCTTTCTGACCTTAACAAAAAAGAATGTGAAGAGGACCCCATCCCTCTAAAACTTCTAATGCAGTGTTTTAATGAAGTTAAACCTATTGTGTCATTTATTATCAATGACTCACTTGTCACTGGAAAATTTCCGTCAGTCCTAAAGAGTGCTCTTGTCAGACCAGCCATCAAAGATGATAAAGGAGATGTCAATAGCTTCAACAACTATAGACCGATTAGTAACTTACCTTTCCTCTCGAAACTCATTGAAAAGAGTGTCCAGAAACAGATGACCAAACATCTTGACTATCACAATCTTCATGCTGAGCATCAAAGTGGTTATAGGTCAAATCATAGCTGCGAAACTGCAACCCTTACCATCTACAATGATCTTCTTTGTATCAGTGACATGAAAAGCAAGGTTATCCTCCTCCTTTTGGACCTCAGTGCTGCTTTTGATACTGTAAATCATCACTTGCTCCTAAAAAAACTAAAAAAGGATTTTGGTTTTGAAGGTACTGTTCTCGAATGGTTTACATCATACCTTAATAACAGATCCTTCACAGTAACTATTGATAAATGAAGATCAAAGAGATGCTTCCTTAGAATTGGAGTCCCGCAAGGTTCAATTCTAGGTCCAATTCTGTTTATACTTTACACAAAGGAGCTCAACCAGATCGCAAAGAGACATGGATTTAACATCCACATGTACGCAGATGACACTCAACTGTACATTGAGTTTAACCCACTATTTCGAGATCTGTCAACAATCGAAGAGAGAATAACAAATTGTTTTGAAGATATTAAGACCTGGATGACCCAAAATAAACTCAAACTGAATCAAAACAAAACAGAATCTCTTGTAGTACAGACCAAGAACAGTTACTCTTCATGTCCAGTCGATTCAATACAGTTTGACAATGCAGCTGACCCTGTGGATGCATCCCGCACAGTGAAAAGTTTAGGTGTCCTATTTGATCAATTCCTAACATTTGAAGATCAAATAAATTCAATTATCAGTTACTGCAACATCCATCTGAGGAACCTTCGAGTTATAGGCTCAAAGCTTAACTATGATCTAAAAAGACAGCTCATTCACTGCTTGATCTTTTCAAAACTAGACTACTGCAATGGACTATATTATACAGTTTACCCGATCTTCTCATAAAGAAACTCCAGAAGGTACAAAATTCCTGTGTTCGATTCTTGTTTGGTTGGAAAGCTATCAAAAAATGGGACTGTGTCACTCCATTCCTGAAAAAAGCCAATTTTCTTCCAATACGACAACGAATAGAGTATAAGATTGCTCTAACCGTGTTCAATTGGGTCAACAACATAGCGCCGGAGTATATCACCAAATGTATTGACATCAAGAGTCAACCTGTACGTGTACTAAGAACTGAAGAAGACTATTTCCTCCTAAATGTTCCCCCTATTTCAAACTATAGTAAAACCGAGAGAAGATTCAGCTACTGCGGACCCTCTGTTTGGAATCAGCTTCCTTATCAATTGAGAACACTAACCGATATCGTCTTATTTAAAAAGAAACTAAAAACTCATCTCTTTGAAAACTTATTTGTATAAGTATCATGTAAACTACCTTTCTCATAAAATCCATACTTCATAAAAATAAGTTCTTATGTACATGTTACTCATGAGTCGCTTTAGATGGTTTGAACTGAATCTTTGGGTTTTGAGTTCTTTATGGCTATAAAGCGATGTATAAATTCCTATTATTTATTATTATTATAAAAGTATCAATACAATTTGTGTTTCCTGACGAGGAGGGCCAGGGGATGTTATTTTCGTGGATTCTAACATTCTCCCTTCACGATATTAGCTACTCCTCTAATAAGGACCCGTTTGGCTGCATGCAGGATAGTCAGCCGATGACATTTGTCAAATATTTCCAACTTGTTCAGGTCACTTTCCTGAACACACTGGAGATTACTGGACTGGGTGATCCAAATCCCGCCTCTTCCAACTGTTCCGTGTAACATTCCAGACCATATCGTGACAGCCACCCTTCTAATGAGTATTGGTCGGGCTGCGAGCCATTTCCTTGGGTCCCGACTGAAGTCTGACTGTAATGTTCATCCCCCAAATACTCTGCCCACTCCTTCCCAGTTTCTGACGTCCCGTTATACTTGGCATCAATAGCATTCGCTACTACCTGTAATCTGTCCCGCAATTCCAACCCATTGACCACTACTGCAACTGTGTACTTGTGGTTGGCCGACAATTGCTCTTTCCTATTATATGAATGATTATATTAGTAAATTATACAATTATGTGTATATATAGATACAAGGTGTTTTTTTTGTAGAGTTATCAAATCAGTTACAACTACAGAAAACAATTGCAAGAGCGAGGTACTACTAGTACTAAAGGTCAACACTCATAATTGAGTTTAATTTGGGTAATTATGTTAAAATTTGAACCGATTAGTCAGCCAAAATCTGATTTTTAATTTATGTTAAAAAAGTTAAAAAAGTTAAAGTAATTAATGTTAAATTCCAAGATCTCGATCTTAGAATTTAACTTTTTTAACGTGGACCCCCCCCTTAATAGGTTTTCTAAGAACGTGTGGTGATAGAAATTTAAAAAGTATCTCCATCAACAAAATTATAGAAATTCAGATTTGGCCATTCTGTGAGGCATGTTTTTTTGGAGGAAGATTTTCCGGCCAATTTTTCTAAAAGAAAAAATGATTATGAGAATAAATGAACCCCCGGGAAGAAAAATATGAGTGTCAACTTAGCTTCTTATGAGATAAAAACTGGAATAAAGTGTGTTTTGTGACTTTGAGAGACCTTCCTTTTTTTTGGCCATTCTGTGAGGCAAATACCCGTAACTGGTAAATCAAATATGTTTCTAACTTTTAGTTTTATTGTTCTGCGATTAATGAACAATACTAATAATGCTAGTATTGGATTTCCTGACGAACACTCTCCAAACAAAAACCAATCAGAAACCGCCATCACCGCCACGTGTCATCATGACACACTAATATAGGTTCGGTAAAGAAACTCTAGCCTGTTTACACACTACACAATTCCCGGCTGTCACGATGATGCATGTCAGATTGACAGCCTATATTTGACATGTTTGACGCCAGTGCACACTGCACAGTGCAGGAGTATAGACTAAAGGGTAGTAACAAGGAGTGTGTGTGCAGTGAAAGAGTGGACAAATATCACACCTTAACAGCAGCTGCCAGGCCATTAAATCCCTAATCACCCAATTGATTACCAGTCAGACAGTTCATTAATTAATTAATAACTTACAGGTTCAGCAGCTTCCTCAGGTTTGTCAATATCCTCACATTCCTCGCTCACTTCCTCCGTTACCTCCTCCACAACTTCAGGTTCCGGTTCCGGTTCGGGTTCCTCCTCCTGACAATTTATAATATCAAATATTGAGAGATAAGCTGGTTGAAAGGCTGCACTTTTTAGTCCTTCGGTTGTGCTTTTGACTAGTATTGTCTTGAAAACAAACTTTGGTCAGTTTTCTTCACTGTAAGCTCGGAATCATCTTGCTTTCAAACCTCATAGACCAAATCAACTAACCAATCAGTGAACAACTTCACTCCCAATTAACCAATTAACCAATAAGTAAACTTACGACGGGAGGCTGGAAGACGTAATCAGGATCAAACACGTGGTGTTGGTGAAGTTTGTCGAACAGATCACTGATATCACTATACTTTGTTCCCTCCCACGAATCCTTGTCCTTCTTGTCCAGGAACGCTGAAGTGGGTGTGGTGATGTTTTGTAGAGCGGGATATAACTTTACTCTACATAGAGAGGAGAACTATAAACCATAACACTGTGATATAAAACGAAATTTCGTAGTTACGTATTATGCCACAGTTACGTATTATGCCACAGTTACGTATTATGCTACAGTTCATTAATAGTATTGTGCTGTGTAACGACAAGATGCAAGGTGAAAGCAGTGAGCATCTAAGTATGTTTTCGATTAAAACCGAGATCAGAGCAGTTCAAACTCACAAACTCTTTTTTTCCTCAAAGCAACTCTAAGTCGAGCATTTTCCATACCGGTGATGTGATGCGTAGCGGAATCAAGTCGTTCCTCCAGTTCACAGAACTTAGCGGCTGTTGTGTCGGTGATTGTGTAGAATGTGTCAAGAGTCTTGATTTCATCTTCAGTCAAAGTCTGGGGAATTCACACGTGATTAATGAGTCAGAGAGGTTAATAAAGGCATAATTGAGACGTGAGATTAGCACGATTTACAGGAAATAATAAGACAATATGTGCGTGACTGTCTCACAACGACAAATTTACTCATTGATAATCACAGTATCACATTACTTACAAGACCGTTGAGTCCAGTAAGCAAGCTTTCTTTGAGATCCAAGGTTAGGAGGGACAAATAGTGCAGGGTGGACAGCACTCCTTTGGCTCGCTTGTGTTCTGAGTCCAATCTCTTAGCCTCTTCTCTACGAACAGCCTTCTTCCTTGCTTTCTCGTGCTGAAATCAGATCCGTTGTGAACGACACATTCTATCGGAAAGTTACGTATCGCTGTGACCTAATATTCCAGAAATTACTTTGAACTTTCAGCCCATGCGTTAAGGCGCTAAGCTAGATAAAATTCGTTGCGCGCGCGGACAGATTGTTGACCGAGTTGTGCTTTGCATAGATTTAAGTGCTGAAAAGGAGGGAAAATTGTCAGCACTACGGACGCGCGCCAAATAAGACTGGAAGTAGGTGAAACCTGACCTAACCGGTAGCAAAAAGTTTTGGCGGGGCCGTGCACTCCACTCGCCCAGTACACAATTAAAATTTATCCGGACTTAACAAGATTTATGCTTTTACTGAGTACACTAATCCTAGATATAATTCTAGATTCCAACTTAAGTGGCACTTAAATTACAAAATTTAAATAACAGAATGTTAACAAATCGATCTCCGTATGATTAAATATGACATCACTACGCTTTCGATCCGTCACTTTGGGATACACCAGATGTGCAGTTAGAAGTGTCAGATGTATTAAATTAACTAGAAATGGCATTAAAAACACGGGGTCTTTACTCTTTAATAGTGTTACACCATTGTGTTGGGTAACAGTACATTTTAGATGAAAGAGTAACAGTATTTATTTTGAGGGGCGTTACATATATCTCTTTACAATAACGTCATGGTTACAAGTTACAGTTCAGAAACCATTCTCAACGCCAAGCTTCTTATATCATATGGCAGTGTAAAGTTTAAACTGTTTTTTGAGGCAATATCTCGGTTTGTAGACAACGTGTATCTAGACAGTATATTTGACTGTCACGCCTCATGTGATATAGGTGGCGGGGAGGGAACCGTATTTGTTTTGACACGTGACGATGAGCCTAAGTTTCGATTGGTCAATGCTTGGAAGATGTTAATCGCTGTAACGTGTTAGAAGTTTTATGGTTCAACTTTCCACCAAAATCCAGATCCATGGTTACTTAAGGTCCTGTGTAATAAAGAGCACCTTAATTTGTATACAAGATTGTAATTACTAGGATTCATTAAGTTACACAGATAGTGCATATAATACCATTTCTTATTTCCCAGAGTCAGGTTAATATAAAAAGTCCTCGAGTTCGAACTTGTCTGACGATACGGAAGATAAAATAGTGATTGGTGATAGATAGAAATACAAAGCCAGGCTGAGAGTCTCTACTAGATGGAAGCTAACCGTGGAAGAGATAATTGACGATTATTCTTCATTTGTACTGTTAAGTTCATTCTCTGTACAATGTCACGTCATCTCATACGGGAAGAAATTTTGGAATTTGATTTAAATCAGGATATTTTGCAGGTAAGTTTACATCACTCCCCTCGCTAGCCGTACCACCCTTAAACCAGGGTATTTCTCATTCTACCCAACAAAATATTGCCATTTTATCTAACTGGTGGCACACAGGTTTGTTGAATGATCGGACTGTTATCTCACTAATCATCCTCTCCCGACTTGGTGACTATGTTAGCTACTATCACGTGACTATGCTGATACTATCACGTGACTATGAGACTGTTTCTCCACATCATGATAGTAACCCAAATCAACGATAGAGTAGAATCGATTGATTTGAACGGAATACCGCATCAAAATGGACCAGAGTGGTTTATTTCTGTAAAATACGATGTACTATTTTGTTTTCCGTTAGTACATTCATAGCACGTAGAATTCTCGTCACATGTTCCTAGTCTTTCCTTTTAATTTTATTGTAACCTGTTCCCCTGTCCAAGAAGACAATAATCTTCTTGAAGGAGTGAAACTCATGATGGTAACACAGCTTGTAATATCAAAGCTAGACTACTGTAATTCTCTTTACATGAACCTACCAAAGACACGACTAAACAAGCTAAGATCAACCCTTAATGGTGCCATACGGTTCATCTACAATATCAAAGACCGATCAGAAGACCAACTTCCCTACTACAAGAGAGCACATATCCTCCCTCTTGACCAAAGGATTTTCTTTAAAGTCTGCCTCCTAACTTGTAAGGCTGTGCATGGAATTGGGGGGGGGGAGGGGGGGGGGGGCAACCATATTAAAGTATATTAAAATGTAGGATTTTCCCCGATTTTGACCCGGGGATATACTTTAATATACTTTAATATACCTACAATATACTTTTATATATCTCTATCTCCTTGGAGGCCTACATCAAAAATTGTTGCCCAAAATAAGCTTGAAATGCAATTCTTAATCGATTCCAAAAAGTTCTTGAAAAAAATATTGAAAACTGAATAAACTGATGGAGTTATTTCAATTTTAATGAAGTCATTTTGGCTAGTATTCCTAACCGAGATATTATACAGTGCAATTTTCCCAATTTTGTTCATGGAGGTCTTTTTACTTAGTATCCACTATATTCAACAAACACTGAGTTATATCTTTCACATAGAGTTAGTCTCATTAAAAAATATTGAAATTTTATCGAATTTGGGCAAAAGCGAATTTGGGCAAAAGCGTATGCCCAAATATGGGCATAATTTATAAAGCTCATAGCTCAGCCAATTTTTGACCAATCTGGATGGAAATTCATGTACTAGTCCTAAAACAGACTTATCTTGCGAATCTGAGTGAAAAATATAGTTCATCATGTAAATCTTAACGAAGAATATAAATCTTCTAATTGTAGGTATATTAAAGTATATTAAAATGTAGGATTTTTTCCGATTTTGACCCGGGGATATACTTTAATATACTTTAATATGGTTGCCCCCCCCCCCCCCCCCCCCGGAATTTCACCGGCCTACATACAGAATCTTGTTGTGATTGAAAACCCATTAACAGCTAGTACAAGATCTAAAGTAGAAGGAGATTGCTATAGGCTTAAGACTCCTCAAACTACAAATAGTAGGATTGATCAACGTCGTTTCACCAACTACGCACCAACTGCATGGAACTCACTTCCCTGGGAGATACGATCACTACGCAATTAAATAAATGTAGACAGTTTCAAAGGTAGCCTTAAACATTATTTATACTTTTATATGACCGTATTTGATAAGTGCTGTTGTTTTTGTACTTATGATTTGTTGGTGGGTGTATCTTTATTTATTAGTGCAGTGTGTAATAATATATCAATAAACCTTCCTATGATTCCTATATGATACTTTTGAAGTATTTTCTGGTGGTTTATTGTTAATCGTAGTGTGGTATATATCAATAAATCTTCCTATGATTACTATATGTTATAATTAAAGTTTTAATTTTTTCTGATTAGATTTGTTTTTGAGATGATTTAATTGTTTGTTGCTGGATATTTTCACCTCACCCTTTAGAACCGCTCTGATATGGTTAGTACCTGACACTTGTGTCAGTTGCTAACCATATGGGCGGTATACAAGCACATTATTTCATTTCATTTCATTTCAACCTGTTCCCCTGTCTAAGAAGACAATAATCCCTGAGGTTTGGATAAACTGTAGGTTATAAGAGTGGTCACCTGTAGACATGAGTTCGGCTGCAACTCAGCTATCAGTTTGCACTTTGCAGCTGGGTTAACACAATGAATGATGGAGCAACTAACAATAGATAACAGGATACTTTCCTGAGTCCTACAGTTACTGAATAGTCCAGGGAGACTATGGAAACTGCAACCAGGTGGAAGGTACTCTTCTTAACCTGTCGGAATACTACACCACATTGCCAATAATACCATGGTAACATGTCGGGATGAGATGGGCAAACTACACCACAACCGTGTACCTCAGTGGTGTAGAAATAGGGTCAGTAGGTTCTAGAGGAGATGTTTGGACTGGAGGGAAGATCTGCTCAGAGAAGATCTGCTCAGGTAAGATCTGCTTAGGGAAGATCTGCTCAGAGAAGATCTCCTTAGGGAAGATCTGCTCAGGGAAGATCTGCTCAGGGAAGATCTGCTCAGGGAAGATCTGCTCAGGGAAGATCTGCTCAGGGAAGATCTGCTCAGGGAAGATCTGCTCAGGGAAGATCTGCTCAGGGAAGATCAGCTCAGGGAAGATCTGGTTGGGGAACAAGGCAGGTGATAAAACAAAGTATAACCTCTTTGAGGGGATCTCTATAAGATGAATATTTATAACTGAACCAGTCCGAGTTATGTCGTTACAGCCGGTGATATGCGTTTCTCAAGAGAAGTTTAACTCTGTTATACTGTTAGAGCAGTATTCCAATTAGATAACTAAGTTTGGGGCGCCTATTGTATTTTACCTAGTGCAACTGTGTAAGACTTCTGTCCCTCAATTTCTTAATTCTCCTCTAGTTCTCACAACTAAATGTTCGACAAAGGCAAGCAGAAACAATAGCGTTTGCCAACAAATCTTTTAAGTTTGTTAAGGCCAGAGGGGGGGGGGGGGGTAAGGGGTCAAAAAATTCTACCAAAATATTATTTTCTAAATCGATTTAATTTTTGATGACAAAAACATTGCTGCTATTCACATATTTGTAGCTGATTAACTTTATTTTATAATTGAGGTTAACCGATTTTCAAAAAATTGACTATACAACATTGAGGTTAACAAAATTGAGGTTAGGGGGGGGGGGGGGGGGGGGTGTAACCCAAAAAAACCCAAAAAAACCCAATCCCAGTATGACCTTTTTCAGGGTAGGAGTTGGGTTTTTTTGGGTTTTTTACAAATTTTTCATTTGAAGGAAATAAAATCATGTAGGCACCTAGCAAAACAATTATCAGTACAACATCACTGTTGTGGTTCATCACTACAACATCACTAGAATAGATATTATCGCTTAAATATCACCCAAAAGCAGTATTTTATTCACTGATGTGCTCAGAAGAAGTTGGCCATCCAGATATGATATCAGCCATATGTAATGCTCACTTCGATGGCCATGGCAAATTGAGTTAGTAGGGACGCAACTCAGTGATGACCCCAACCCTGACCGCAACCGCGTACGAGAGGAATAAAGCCTTTCTTCTCACCTTCACGATCTCTGTTTCCGTTTTCCTGATCATCCGCTTAACGAAAAACCATGCTCTATCT